GCTTTTCATTTCACTGTAAAATGATATTAAATAAGCAATAGCTTTCAAAATAAATCTATAAAGTGTGAAACTGGCTTGCTCAGCATTAACAAGTTATGGTAAACCCTAGGAATACCTTGACTGAGGAATTACCAGCTAGTTGTACACTTTTTCCATTATTTTCCAACAGTTGTCACTGATCAGAGGAGCCCTACCAATGTTTGAACTGGTTGAACACCAGCCTTCGCACTTCTCTAGTCCTGATGTTTTGAATCTTACTCCAGGTAATGCTTGCCTATTTGACTGTTTTTTGGTTACTCAAATTGCATAATTGTTGTGGTAGCTTTTAATTCTTCTTAGCCTAAAGTATATGTCCTGGATGAGGCATTCGGCATTGGAAAGCCCACTGAAATTATTCATTTCAGTTGCAGTTTTGGAATGTTTAATCCCGTATAGAATCACTATTGAAATGAACATAGTGACCATTTAGGCACATTTTCTTTCATTAGAAGGGATGAGGAGACCAACCTATTTCTTGTCAGAAATATTATGCATACACTTGTGATACTGGTCTCTCTTCTAGCGAAATGTTAACTAATGCTTTACTTATTTCACCATTCCTGCTTGTGGGAAAACGTTTACTTTTAAATACTATTTTCTCTATAACTGTAACAAATCCCCTTTTTGTTGTTGTTAAATTTATATCCCACTGTTTCTCAAGGTGACTTATGTGGGTCTCCCCCTGCTGTTATTCTCACAACAATCCTATGAAGTAGGTTAGAGTTGACTGACTCGAGGTCTTTCTGTGAGCTGCTAGACTGAATGGAAATGTAAACCCTGGTTTGGTAGGTCCTAGGTAACCACTAAACCATATTGGCAGTCTCTCCAAAACTCCTCTCTACAAATTTTAGCGGAGAATATTTGGTAACATTGTCATTACATAATTTTACAGCAGCAATTAATATTTGACAACCAGCATACAATATTTAGTAAATTATAATAATAACTCTTAAGTATCCTCTTGAGTAGGTAAAAAACCCAAATATTATTTAATTTTGATGTCAGATTTAGAATCTGAATTTTGAGGTGAAACTCCAAATTGTGAAACTTTTAATTTTGTCAAAGGTTTGCAAAAATTCTTATCAGATCTGATTTGAAATTTGTTTCTAATATTTATCATAAAATTATAGCATGATTTGCTTGAGTTTCTGCTTTTTAGTGTTCACTAACATTTTTTGTCAGTACAATGATCTGTGTGTTTCTGTTGCCCACTCGTGTCAAACTGGACCTGTTAAATTAGCTGGACATGGTGAATCTCATTGCCAGCTACTTAAACTTGTTCTCTTTGGATCATAGACACCATGGCAATGTTGTTGTTTTTTGCATCTAACCCTATACGGGGAATATGGTGAAGAGACTCACATGTCATTAATAATGTGGCACTAATTCACACTTTCAAAGCAAAGTATTGTACTTTGTGTAGTATGTATCATGTGTAATATGCAAGGGAACAAACATAACTATTTCAGGATAAAGAGTATAGCATCAAAGCACTTTAGTATGCTCTCAATCTTCAGAGTTAGGAAAATTACAATATTCATTGACCTCTCCCAGGTATAACAGGAACAGAGCCTGTTTGCATGTTATCTGATCAGTTTTTTTCTTTTACCTGCACAAGCAACTTTCCTGTAATGTGCTGGTTCCCAAAGCAGTCCAGTAGTATTCCTGGTCTTCTTGATAGATCTAAATATATGTGCTGGTGTAAATAATTCCAGGACTATATTAATTATGATTTATACCTCTCTTTGCCTTTCAGATTCTTCCGATGCAGACAGACTGGAAAGATTCTTTGATTCAGAAGATGAAGACTTTGAAATCTTATCTCTTTAAAGAACAATAAGAAGCTAACTCTGCCAATTTGTGTTGTGGGGGGAGGGGAGCTCCATGGAGAGCCTAGGGCTACCAGCTTTCATAGGTGCTTGTTGACATCCCTGCCTCCCATCCACCCCAGCATTCTGTGCAGCCTTGGAGCTGAGTGGATTTTTTTGCAGTGGGATCAAGAAACGGGTCATCATTTAAGGCCTTAATAGATTTAGTCAGGCTTTCTCCGTGCAAGAGTACCTGCAGGAAAAGGAGGCAGTGTTTCCTAGGAGCTGAAGATTATTTTTATGTTAGCAAGCCAAAAGGGTGAGCAAGAATAGTAAAAGCCCTTCCGAGTGCTTGGCTCTTACAAGTTCTGTTATTAAGGAAAACTTAAAATCCCATTTTGCTTCTGTCTCACTTTTTGTAGTTTGATGTGGAAACCAGCATAAAACACAGACACCTATCCAATAGCTGTCTCTTTAGCCCAGCAGAATGTGTCCTGTGTAAATTGGGGGGTAAAAGCTCTCACAAGATGATTTGCATCAACTGTTGCTACTCATGCTTTAATTTATCTCGGATACAGTGCTTCCAGAGAGATGTATTAACTGCTTTTAAGTTTCAAAATGGCCCTTCGTTTTAAACTCTCATACTCTGCCCAGTGGTGTCATTCTAGAAATCACGGAATCTCATGCATAGCAAATGATACAGTAAGAAGTATGGGTCGGAAATTACAAATATAACTTTTCAGTATAGAGAGTAGGGAGGGCTTGGACAAGTGCTCTCTTTCAGCTTGGAGGCCATTCACAGCACATCCAAAAGGAAGAACTGACAAGTTAACCAGGATATGGCTTCATTAAATATAACCTGTATTTGTTGGGTATTTTTCTATTCCATATTAAAAATATGGTGGCTGCTATTTAATAAAATGTGGTGGTAGAAACATCCACCAGCTCACTTGAATTGAAAGTACCTCTGCTTCCTTCTCTTGATTCCATCTCTTTGTGTTTAGATTCTGATCATGAAATCTGGAGATTTGTTACATGGATTTAAAATGCTTTGCTTTAATGCCAAAATTGTGATATTAAAAGCCTGGCGTGGTTATTGCCAGAGGCTTGGCCCCCCCTTTCTTTCCCCGGTTTATACACTACACAAGGTTAAGTTTCTCTTGCGTGGTGGTGTTCACTTGCTTTTCAGTTTTATGTTGTGACTTGTAAGGTATACTAGTTTCTAAAGAAAAGCTCAGCAAATTCTGGATGCCTTGAAATGTTAATTTACCAGCTCTCAGCTAGGCTGGAAATGGTGGCTGTTGTACTCTTAAAATAGCATTAGAGCTACCTTTGTTTAGAAGAGATGAGAATGGCTGGAGAGGACCCGCCACTCCCCACCCCACCCCCAAATATTGACCACCTTTTTGAAATTCAGTCGCTTCATTGATGGATGCTGGAGGTGGCAAATATGTTTACAAAGCATTTTTTCCTGCATTTATCAGCAGTGCTATCAGCCTAAAAGATGGCAGTATAGCCATCTATAAAGTAACTGCATCTAGGGGTAACTGGTCTACTGGTAGTAGGTCGTAGGTCTGATTGCCCCTTAAAGCTGCCAGAAAGCAGAGGTCTGAACCATGATGCTTATTTGTCATTGTTATAACTTGCTGTCTTTCTCTTGCTGTTTCTCCTCTTCTCTTGATCATAGACTTTTGGAGGGAGAGGAGGCAGAGGAAGTGGGGCTGTGCTCCATTCATCAACTGCTTTCAATTTGTATCTGAATAAACCAAGTTAAAAGAAACCTTTGTATTTTTGGTACTTCTGCCCTGCTGAGTCGGAAATGTCAGACTAATTGAAAAGTGGGTCATAACCAAATGCTGTTTGTGACATATTCCATGAAATTTTTGGCCTGCTCTGTAAGATAGGGTAGAGTCCCTTCCTCTGAAAGATCAAACCAGGAGTGGCAAGAAACGTTCTGCTCACTTCTCTCCTCCATATTCTGGTCCTGCTTGCTTTGTGAGGCCAAAGCTGCATTTTTCATAGAATCAGGATTACAGAGCTGGAAGGGATCCTGAGGATCATCTAGAATCAAGTCCCTCAGGGCCTCTCCTTGCATGCTGCTTGACAATGCTTGCTCGATCTCTGTCGAAGCCAGAGCATTTCCCCACCAGTTTGTGTGATGCAACTGGCGCTCCTGGGACATGCTCAGCTCTCTACTTGTCCTGTGACAAGGGCAAAATATAGGACAGGATCCATGCCTCACTGCTCTTGCTGAACATGGGCTCTTCTAGTCACTGAGTCTGGGACCAAACTCCTGGTTTCCTTCTGAGAAGTAGGCACCCTCACTAGGAAGCAAATAAGATTGATCCTGCTTATATAATACAGGGTGTAATGTCATCCCAAGGTTACGGACTAACTTCTAGGAGAGGCAGAAAAATGAGGTACTTGTTATGTCCTAACACACAGCAATCAAACATGAGGCCTGAAGGTTGCATGCTGTCCTTGAGGCCTTGGTAGCCCTGGCACTGCCAAGGATGGTGCTGGGGATGAAGCGTAAGGGCTCAGACAGGGTCCTAGAGTCCTCCACCTTCCCAAAGCCTAGTGTTTTTTTCAACTTTGAGAAGAATGCGAGGGTTCTAGGACCCTGCCAAAGCCCCGTGCCTCCTTCCCCAAGTCCAGCGCTTTGCGAGGGCTGGGTGTGTATATCTTTAGTTTTCTATGTATTTCTGTTTTCCTTTAACACATGTAAAAGAATACTGAGATCAGAAGATAATGATGGAAGACAGCATCAGTGCCTATAATGCACCTTTGGGACCATGAAATGATGTAGTACTAGAATTGCATCCTACTATAACCTCCCCTGCGGTTCAGTCCAAACTCTGACGGTGATCTTGAGATGTTACCTATAACTACCCTCAAACTTAGTAGTAAGAATTTTGAGGATAGCACTGTGGTTTTGTCAAAACTTTCAGGAAACAAAAAACCTGATTTTTAAATAAAATCCTAGCAGAGATCCTAGTTCAGGTACAAAGTCTAGCAATGTCAAATTACATAGCACCAGTGATCATATTGAATTCAACATAAAAATATGAGAAATAGCCTGGGAATTGCCTTTTTTTTTATGGGGAGGTGGTATGATTAAAGGATAGTTGAAATGTATATATAGACTGCAGCTTAAGTTCCAAAGCCCATGAAAGGATTTATTATATTAGAAAAGGTACACACAATTCCAAGAGAACACCAACATGAGTAAATAAAAGATTTCTAGATATAAAATGCAAGACTGCTTTCTTTAAGAATAGGAAAGTGCAAAAATTGGCAAATAAGTTAACAGCAAAGGACAAATTTGAAGAATGCATTTCTAAATATGCAAACAAGTTGCTTCTTTAAATAAATCACTAATAGGAAACTGAACAAAGGCTTTATCACCATAACAAGGTTTGAAGGTGATAGTGGGAACAATATTGTGAATCTGCAAATAGGTTAATTCTCTACATCAGTCTATGCTTTAGAATATGGTGGAGACCCATATCCAAACCACTGCTTCCGAAGAACACAAAAAAAGTCAGATGAAATCTTTAGATAGGAAAAAGTCTAAGAAATATCTCAAGAATTTGAGAACTCAAATACAGTAGACTTTCATTAAAAACACTGCTCTAATCAGGATCTTTACTACATAATTGGACAGCAGCCCCCGTAATACCACTAAAAAACAAACACCATAAATGGGGCTAATATAATTCACAAAGAAATGGTTTTGGTGGTAGTGTTTTAAAAGCGTGCAGGCATTTCTCCTTTCATAATACTGAAATCCAGAGTTACCCAGTGAACTGCCAGTTGAGTTTTCAAGGCTGTTCAAATGTTGTTGGACTCCCAATTACCATTAAACCGAGCCAGCGTGGTCAATGGTCAAGAATGATGGGAGTTGTAGGCTAGCAACTTCTGGAGGGTTCCTGTGTCATGCTAGAGTTAAGATTCCATATTAAGTTAGCCTTATTTTGACCAGGTACCATAACCTCAACTCTCTCATATGACACTTTCCCCCATTTATGCAGGAAACGAAGAATACTGTCCGTGGCAAAGGGTTGTGTGTCGCTCCAAATATTTAGGTTGGGAAGTTAATGCACTATTCTCTGTTGGGAAGGCAGGGTGAAACATCACATTTAGTCACGCTAAAGCAGCTTGATCTAGAGCAGGGGTGGCTATGTTGTGGCCCATCAGATCAGGCCATGGTGGTAGAGGCTGATGGGAGTTAAAGTCCAACAACATATAGAGGGTGACAGGTTAATTACTCTGTTCTAGAGTGAAAGGTGCTTAATCAGCACTGGGGTGGGCATGTTTCAAGTTATTTAAGCCATCCTATCAAGTACATATTGCAGGGATAAGGAACCTCCAGGCTTCCCTAGCTGGCGCTTGGATCTAGCCCAGGCCCCGCCCCTAGCCTCAGCCCATACCACTTACCAACCCAGCACTGGATCTTCCTTGACTGCTTCTGTATGGCTGGACTACATCCTTGAACTCTGATAATGCCTCTTGCTTGTGTGACTGGAGAGGTGCATGTGTGTACAGGAACCTTTGACTTTGCATAGCTGGAATGTAGCTTACCATACAAAGGGAAGAGTTGTACTGTTGTCTATCCACTTCTTGCCTCTCAGACTGTGTACCACTGGCATGTGGCCTTCTAAAAGGTTGCCCAAGAGGCAGTGTGGTCTTTGGGCTGAAAAAGATTCTCCACTCGACATAACTTTGTGCTCGACAACATTAGGTGAAAATCTGACATTTATTAGTAAACTTCTTCCGCCTCATTGCGAAAAGAAAAGCTGTTTTAAAATTATGACCCTGGAAAACAACAGCTACTATAGTGCTGAAGTATTAAGTCTCTCTTGGTAGGACAAAAAGACCTTTGTCTAATGCTTCTTTCACGCATCTACTCCAGTCCAAGTCCCGACAGAGCTGCCAGTCCAGTCTCTTATAAAACGCCACCCAAAACAGAAAGAGGAGAGCTGCATCAGGAGCAAGTCTAACAAATCCTATTTGATAATATAAATACAGGGTGGCTTGAAGATGAACGGTGCAGATTTTGGCTAGGTGAGAAGTGACCCCGAGGAGATGATATACTCCAGTCCTAGTTCCACAGTTCTCCTATGGGTTTGTACTGAGCTTCTCGCATGACCTCCTCTGCAAACGATTTTATTTCATTATGCAAGTCTTCTATGCTCTTTGAAGCATCAATCACCTGCATCCAAAACAAAACCACAAACACATGAAACACTTCTCATGTACAACCCAACTACAGAAGAACAGTTGGTGGAAGAAATAAAGTATCAAAATATACTAATAAGGTATTACGTTGATGTCTCATCCTACAAGTTTTTCTTCCCCTTCAACAGATGTTTCAGATCTCCTAGCAGGGTTGCTTGATTTTTTTTGGCTTATGAATGCCACAGTGCTCCTCCTGAAGTTTCCTTTTTTACCTTCCAGTTTAAAGTCTTATCTTCCATCAAATGGTAGAAGCGTTGCAGAACTTTCTCCTGAAAAGAGCTGTATTCGTATCGTTCATTTCCAAAGTCTCCTCGTTTGGCTGCTTCAGACGGGCTCAACTGAAGAAAAAGGATCAAGTCTGGCTTTGGAAGCCCAACATCAGGTTGCTTACACCATTCCAAGGAGAAGTTCTGTTCGGAGAGAAATGAGAGATGCAGCAAATAGCCCAATGAAGCCAAGGAGCAATTTGACAGGAACACAGGAAGCTGCGTTATACTGAGTCGGACCACTGGCTTAATCTAGCTCAGTACTGGCCACCACTCTCTGATATTTCAGACAGCATTTCTCCCTTAACTTGCCTGGAGAAGCCAAGGATTGAACCATTGAACCTGAGACTTCAATGCAGCAAATCTTTCCATAAATACTATATTTATATGAGGCTGAATTGGTGTTTTTTACCCACCTCTTTAGCACCTGTGAAGGCCACTCCAGAAAACGCGTATCTGTCCACTACCAGAGTGATACCTTGGTTTAACTTCTCTTTAATCAATGGCCTGAATGGTAAAAAGATACCACTGTTAGAGAAAAATCGAAGCATAATAATTTGGAATAAAGCGTGGTGCAAGGTATAAAATTCCTGTGACTGTATTTATATGGAGAAAATGTTATGTTTATTTATATATGACATTTGGATAAAAAAAGATAAAGGGACCCCTGACAGTTAAGGCCAGTCGCGAACAACTCTGGATACACCCTCATTAAGTCAAGAGTACTCTGGGACGCTGTGATCTAAACCACAGAGGCTAGGGCTTGCCGATCAGAAGGTCGATGGTTCGAATCCCCACGACGGGGTGAGCTCCCATTGCTCGGTCCCAGCCCCTGCCAACCTAGCAGTTCGAAAGCATGTCAAGTGCAAGTAGATAAATAGGTACCACTCCGGCGGGAAGGTAAACGGCGTTTGTGTGTGCTGCTCTGGTTCGCCAGAAGTGGCTTAGTCATGCTGGCCACATGACCTGGAGGCTGTATGCCGGCTCCCTCGGCCAATAAAGCGAGATGAGCGCCGCAACCCCAGAGTCGGCCACGACTGGACCTACTGGTCAGGGGTCCCTTTACCTTTTACTCTCCCAAAGCAGAAAAGCAGCATTGAATTAGGGGCTCAAAAAGGTACTCATGTATTTCATAAGAATTCTATTTACACTTGCTCCCAGCGATTAGCAGAAAATAGCAGATGCACTGTGTGGTCCTCCAAATTGTTCTTCTTTTCCAAATAGGAACTTATCAGCCGTCCGATTTCTGTAGTTCTGTCTGCAATAAGATGTAGACAAGAGTGGAATAAGACAAACATATTCATCTTCTATAAATTCTGTAATATTCTCTTCCCAATGTACATCATTATCGGAAGCATGAGTCAAATGCTACTTCTAAACTTCCTAAAAAGATAGCAGCATTCAATATCAGAAATATACATTCCCCAGCATCTAGGCTATGGTTACCAAATTTTTTTCAATGAATCCGGGGACACTTTTTTTTTGAAGCTGAGTAGCAACAGGGAGTTAGTAGTGAGGCAAAAGACCCTGGGGCCAAGCACACATGCATATTGTATAAAGGTGTAAAGCCTTTCTTTCGCACCATGTGAAACATAAATGCGCAGTTTTTTTAAAAACTGGGCAACGGCATGCCACCCACCCGTGACTCCCGAGCCTTCCCCGATCTCCTGCCCCCTTCCCCCTTTGTTTTGACAGATCGGGGGAGGCTCAAGAGTTGTGGATGGGTGGGCATTGCCCAGGAGAGGCACAAGGTGCATGGTTTCTCTGCCAGGCAAGGTGCAAAGCCCTTCTTTCGCACCCTGTGAAATATAAATGTGCAGTTTCTTTAAAAACTGGGCAACGGCTGCCCGCCTGCGACTCCTGAGCCTCCCCTGATCTGTCAAAACAAAGGGGGAAGGATGCAGGAGATCTGAAGCACAGGACGTCCCCGGTTCCCCTTCGGCAGTGGCAGCAGCAGTGGACAGCTCCTGAAGCCAGCCAGAGCCAACTGCGCTACCAGGCCAGCTCCAGGCTGAGGCTGCTGCTGCTGCCACGTTTTCCAAGGACAGATTTGCAGTTCTGGGGACTGTCCCCAGGAATGTCTGTTAACCCTAATCTAGGCAGAAAATAGATAACCACGATCCCAACCCACAAGTGGGATTACACCCACTTTATGTGTTACTGCATCTTCCATCATGCATGTACCCTTGCTATAAGGATGGTTTAATGCTATTTGTCTCTCTCTCTGCATGTCACAATGTACCCTAACACACATGGTCATGCCAGAATGCCAATTCAGTTACAAAGCAAATCTAAGATGGTAGAATCATACTTAGTTTATGTTTTTCTTTAATAAGCACTATTTTGCACCATGGTTTCAAAGACACCCCAAGAAAGTATAAAGTTAAATAAGCCTTGAAAACACACACACAACCAACCAACAACAACAACCATAAAGAAACTGACTTTTTCGAATGTCAAAATGATTAGATATTAGATAAATTAAATTAAAAAAAACCTCAAGGTTATCTACGAGGAGGGCCAATGACTCAGCCCAAAGATATGATAATGCTGGTAAGGAACGCTTTCTGCACATCACTAGCACCGCCACAAAACGTATTAGATTTGGCCCCCTTCCCACCCCGTCGGCAGCCTTTTGACAGACAGAAATCTCACAGATGAAGCGTTCCCGCCACTGCACCTCCGTAGCGGGAGAGGCTGTGTGCACCTGTCGACTTTCACCCCGCCACCCGTCTGTCAAAGGCACAGACATGCTGCCACAGCAGAGGAATTGCCGACAACCTATACAGGTAAATCTAAGGCAGTGTGGCGAAAGGGCTGCGCCATCCTGCAGCTGCCGCGACCCCTAAGCCTCGCATACCGGGAAACCGAAGGAGTTCGGCCCGGTGTCCCCCTGCCAGCAGGCCCTCCACCAGCTTTCTGGTCTGCGTGCTTTTGCCAGCTCGGTCTACGCCCTCCAGCACGATCAGCGCCCCTCGCCTGCCAGCCATGGCGCCCCTTCTCAGTCAGCGGCGAAGGGAAGGCGATCGAACGACAACTGCAGCTTCCCGCGCTTTTGGCACAATCACAGAGTTACAGTCCTCCGGCGCATGTAGAGCGGCTGTGGTGTAACCATGGTGACCAAACCCTCGCGCGATCACAGAAAACGCAGCAAAGCGGAACAGTCTGGGAAAAAGCAGAAGTCGACTGCGCGATCAAAGAAGCCGACTGCGCGGTGATCGACAGGATTAGTCCGTTGGACGCCGCTTTCTTTCTAGGCGTTTTTTGTCCATCTCACTGATATTAACCCTTAGCTGTGTTTGAATGCAAGGTATAAAATACCAAAGCAAACGCACTCAAGAGCACAACGCTTTTCTGATGTCGGCGCAACAGACTTGACAGTAAACTTGTACCCTTAACGTGGGGAAAATCTCGTTACGGGCATCCGTGTTTTGCAGCTAAATCCCTCGGGGATTCGAGGGCGCGCGCGTTTTTCATGCACGCGTGGGATCCTGACGAGCGTTTCACGCATTCGCCCACCCACGCCCCATGATGCCCTTTTAAAATTTGGAGGGTTTTTTTTTTTAGGGGGGGTATTGGGTTGTTTTTATTTTGAATATATATTGCGTGGTTTTATTTTTTGATTTTGTTCTGTAAACCGCCCTGAGACCTTTTTTAGATATAAAAATAAAATGCCAGGGGAGTTTTGGAAGGGTGGGTTTAAAACAAAAACAAAAATCTTAAGCGATGATGCGGGGGGAAATGGAGGTCCATCCATATTGCACGCAGCCCGTTATAAGTGGGGGCATTAAACCGTCCTCCTTTTTATGTAATGAATTAAATAAAGCTTTCAGAATTACGTGCAACCATATATATTTTTTCTATTATAAATAAAAGTCGTATGTTTACATATTTATCTGTAAGAATGGTCTTTCTTTCCACGTCGACCAGAAGCGTCTAGTCTACACTGGAAGCCCCCTTATTCTCCGCAAGGCTCACCTGGGCTATAAGCTACACCGAACACCGTGCCACTTCTCAGAGTAAGCACGCGTAGGATTGCGCTGGTGCGCCATGGTACATAAAACATCTTTCTTCTCTCTACACCCTTTGAAAAAAGAGCGATTTTATGGGTACAGTAAATAAGGGACATATTGAGGAGGTGCCAACGAAGGGACGCTTAAGGGGCTAAATGCAGAGTGTTTCTGTCCTTGGGTGGATGCAGAAATCCCGAGAAGATAAGTAGCTAAAGCTACTTATGCTGTAAAATACAGTTTTCCGGGAGACTGACACGCGTTTGCTCTGCCACGTCTATACATCCCGAACCCGCGAGCTCCCGTGCACTCCTATTTATTTGAAGGAAGCTCCGTCGGCTTCGGTGGCGTTTTCCCTTCCAAACAGACAAGTGTACGCCTAGAACCGCGTCACGCGAACACCGCGCGGGAAAGACGTAGCCGGACCTGCGCGGGAATTACGACGGGAGAAAGTGGAGGCGGGGAAAGACCACCCGCCGCCGCCGCGGACACAGGAAAACGGCCCATTCCGGCCGATGGCGAACGAACGTTGACGTCGTCTCCCCCGAAACGCCCCCTCATTCCTATGCAGCGGCGGCGTCCGACTGGCCAATCGGCGCCGGCCTCTCATGACTATGCAATGAGAGCCCCGACCGGCCATTGCGAAGGCGCCCGCGTGACAGCGCCGAGCGCGGCGGCGGCGGGGCCGGAGGGTGGGCGTTGGCTGGCCGGCTGGCTGGCGCGAGATGGCGGCGGCGGCCTTGTACCTGGAGCACTACCTGGACAGTGAGTGAGTGCGGCGTTGGGCAGAAGGAACGGAGAGGGAAACAGGCCCAGGCCAAAGCCGGGCGGGGGCCACGCCGGCAATTGCGGCTGCGTCACACAGACCCGGCGAGGGAGGGAGGGAGGGGCGGCGGGCGAGGTTTCTTGCTGCGTCATTGCGACGCGTAAAGGAGGGATCTCCGCGCCGGCCTTCTAAGGGTGCAGCTGCGATCCTTGGCCACTGGGGGCCGCTCCTGCTCTACTGGGCGCTGTCTGTCAGACGAGCAGCAAAAACATCCCCCCCCCCAATGCTTTTAAGGCTCGTCGTGTTGCGCATTCTCTAGGATTGCCACCTAAAAATAAATAAAAATGTCAGGGTTCCTCTTCCTTCCCCACCCTTGTGACCAGTAGAAATTCAGCAAGTCAGGTGGCGAGGAAAGCGCCATTATTTGTAGACGGCTGTTGAATTCAACATAGGAAACCAAGGCAGGGCATAATACTAATACTATTAATAATAGTCGCTTTAATATTCCCATGTATTCAGCCCCGAACATCAGTACTTCGTTAGCAAAGCTGCAGACCTCAACTTAAAAGACACATGGTTATTTCATTCTTAAAATCTGTATTCTGTTTTATTGTCAAAACCTCTAATCCGTTTGTGTAGAGCATAATATACACATTAAAGTTATGAATAAAAGACAATAAAAACAAGCTGACCTAAAGAAAACACAAGCTTTCATAAAATGTACCTGCCCCGTAGCTAGTGGGAGCACCCAGCTCAATATGCCATATACAACAGGGAACAGATAAAGAGGAAGGTGGTAGGGTAAGGTAATTATGGAAAATAGGGTACTTGGCAAGGTTTATGAATGCTTTTTGTTATGTGTAGTTGGTTTGTGAACTTTTATATTAAGAAAGTTATGGTAGAGAGGGGACTGCAGCATTTCTGTTTTTGTATTTCAGGCATTGAAAACCTCCCTTGTGAGTTGCAAAGGAACTTCCAACTTATGCGTGAGCTGGATCAGAGAACAGAAGGTATGTTCAGGTATTCTGGTTCACAGATCTTCTTGTGTGCTCATCTCATATTAGATTTGCACACATCTGAGATTCACTTGTCATATATATTCACTGGGAAAGTGAGAAGTAGCCCATAGCAGAGTTCCTTCAGCCTCCCAAGTTTTTGCTATTTCAGTGCAACATGAAGATGGGGTGTGTGTGTCATAGTGTGGCCAACAACTGATTCCATTGTTTCATGTGCACCACTTCTAGCAAAGCTTGTAGGAGCAGAATTATATAATGCTGTATTTACATTTGAGTTTGACAAAGGTGTGTGAAGGACTGTAGATGTGTATGAATTGATCTTGCAAGCACAGTCTTACTACTTTTTAGTCAGTTGTGCCTTACTTTGGTTGGAGAACATGCCTGCTCATTTGAACTTTTAGAAGCACAACTCAAGAATTCAGCTGGCACATGTGCTTTGGTTTAGTTGCAAGTATTTTAAAATGAGAGAACAAAGGACCAATTAAGTGGTCAGATGAGAAAGTGGACAAGACTCCTTCACTTCTAACAGTCGTGTGGCTGAGGGAATGTCTGCAGGTGTAGCTTGCATAACAAGCTATGTCTCCTAAAACCCCTTTTTTTACACAGCCACTGAATGTGCAGAAGCCCTGTACCTTTTTCCCCCGGACTACCCCGGAGAGACATTTCTTTCATGATTTCTAAACATGTTTCCAATTGTGAAACATATAGTTTGATCCTAAATCAACTTACTTACAAATAATCCCACTGACTTCAATGGGATTTTCCCCCAAGTAAATGAGCTTTGGGTTGCAGCCTCACAGCTCAGTCTTACTCAAAATTAAGCCCCACAGAGCTCAGTGAGGCTTACTTCTCAGGTAAGAGAGTATAGGGCTGCAACCTCAGTCTCACGCACATACTGTCTCCCATTGCTCTTCAGACAAGAAAGCAGAAATCGACAGTCTTGCTGCTCAGTACATTTCAACAGTGAGGAGTTTGTCATCAGAGCAACGGGTGGAAATCCTGCAGAAGATTCAGAATGCCTACGCAAGATGCAAAGAGTACAGTGATGACAAAGTGCAGCTGGCCATGCAGACCTATGAGATGGTAAGGTTAGATTAAGGTAGACAGAGGACTTGTGTTTCAAAATGAAAAATCCACCCTCTGTATTTCTTACCTCTCCCATAGCTACCTTTGAAGCTTGTATTACAGGTACTAGTCTTTCTGCGTAATTAGTAGCTGTTGACTGACACAGACATGAGGATCCATGATCCCGGGTTCAGTTAGAGATAAAGAAGATAACAGGCAGGCTTGCATCATACATTCTCTACTTCAAAAAGAATCCTGATGTGGACTGGGTTGTGTACAAGGTTGTGACCTCCCCCTGTTTAATCTTTTACAGTCTGGGAGCAATGGGGCAAATACCTGAGGCTAAAGTTATGGTGCTGGCAAGCAAGTAGATTTGTCAGCAGTGCATTTATCAAAATTATTTCTGTGGCTACATGTTCTTATTCACTGGACTATTACAGAGAGAAAGTTGTTTTCTGAGGCAGTGCAGGAATCTTCACTGCTTTGAGAATCCAGGCTATGGGGTTTATAGTGAGGGTCAATACAACTAGACTTGCTAAGATTCATGGCTCTCTGTTGTGGGAAGGGTTTGGGATGGTCAAGGATCTGCCACATTTCCTTAATCTGTACATATGTGAATGACTATGGGTATTTCCAGACAACTTGTCCATTGAGCATTCACCCCGATTTGTCAGCACAAGTTTATGGGGAGCTTAGATGTTGGCTACTTAATGAACATTCCTTCTGATTTGTTTTTGAGGTTAGATGACATTGAGTCAAAGCAAGTGTTATCCCAGTTCATTTTCATGTCACTTTCCTTAATCACCAAAAATCTGAGCTTTGGGGGAAGCAGGTTTCTTTCACAAGACCTCCCAATCAACTATATTTTGCAACCTGAATTTGCTGGTCTGTGATTGAATTCCACCTGAAAACAGGAACTGTCGGGACGAGTCTCAAGACTACAGGGGGACTGTGGTTTGTATTGACCACCTTCCTATGGTAGCTGGTTTTTCTGCTCCCTCCCTCCCTCTGCTCCCTAAATGGTCTGTGATTTGCATTTGTGTGGTACCCACAAACACCCAGAAAAGCTAAGTGAGCGGCTGTGGTTAATGCACACACCAATCACAGGTCAGATGAGAGAGGTGTATTGAGGTGCATTGAAGTGATAAATACCAGAAAAGGAAGATAGCAAGTTGATTCTGATGATTTCTAGAGATATTATTGGATTTTGTTTTCTTTAGCTGTGTGGTCTCTCTTTCTGATGTAGGTAGATAAGCACATTCGACGGCTGGATGCTGACCTGGCACGATTTGAAGCTGATCTGAAGGATAAGTTGGAAGGCAGTGACTTTGAAAACCCTGCAACGCAAAACCTAAAAAGTGTGTACTTTATGAATAATGTCATCTCCCTCTGAGGAAATCCTTCTATATACTTTTTAATTTGTTATTATTATCATCTATTAGACTTACAAAGATGATAATAATAACAAATTAAAAAGTATATAGAAGGATTTCCTCATCTATTAGACTTACAAATTGGGACGCGGGTGGCGCTGTGGGTAAAACCTCAGCGCCTAGGACTTGCTGATCACATGGTCAACGGTTCGAATCCCCGTGGCGGGGTGCGCTCCCGTCGTTCGGTCCCAGCGCCTGCCAACCTAGCAGTTCGAAAGCAACTCCGGGTGCAAGTAGATAAATAGGGACCGCTTACCAGTGGGAAGGTAAACGGCGTTCCGTGTGCTGCGCTGGCTCGCCAGATGCAGCTTGTCACGCTGGCCACGTGACCCGGAAGTGTCTCCGGACAGCGCTGGCTCCCGGCCTATAGAGTGAGATGAGCGCACAACCCTAGAATCTGGCAAGACTGGCCTGTACGGGCAGGGGTACCTTTACCTTTACCTTAGACTTACAAAACTTTTAAAACATAAATGCTAATACATTATATCATAAAAAAACAGAACAAAACAACCTCCATAACAGCTACAGGAAGCTTTGGCAGCACACTAGTACCAAAGCAAACATCTTATGTGAGTCTATCGAAAGCCTGGGGGGTGGGGAATATAAGTCATTACCTGGTGCCAGAAAGATATCAACAAAGGCACCAGGCAGACCTTTCTTTCCTAGTAAAAGCTGTTTCTCATACACCATGAGAGTCTTATATAAAAAGCATACATGCCTGCTATGAGGAACAAAGGGAGAAATCAGTGAGGAGAGACATTTAGTTGGACAGAATTGAGCCATAGTTTTTCTTCAATATGGTTTCCATAATTTTGGCATAAAGCAGGCAAAATTATGTTGATTAAGTTAATATTAGGAAGAATCCTCCTACCTCAAACCACAACTCCACCTGGTCCAGTTTTGCTTTATAACCTGTGTAAATTCTTCCACAAGGTATTGTGCATTGACAGTGGCTTCCAGAGTTCTTACTCATACAGAAAATAAAGTAGTACCAAGTTTCTCCAAACCCATTTTCTAATCCTTTAGCTTCTCTTAGTAAGTTTTTTTTGATAAAGCAGTTTGCCTGTGGATTGCATTTTGTTCCTCTGAAATTATATATTTGTTATAAGATCATATATAGAACAAAAATTCTATTAAAATAAGAGTCTGGTGCACAATGTTAACAGGGTAAAACTGTAGTAGTATTTTTTTAAATGATTATACATATAAACAGCTTAGGGTGATATGAAGGTATGTATATATGAGCTATTTTCATTTGAAGTATTGTCAGAAGCAAATTTATCAAACATTAGTTTATTAGGTACAATCTTCAATGTATTTTACAAGGAGTAAACCTCATTTGACTTGGTGGGTCTTACTTCTAAGTAAACCTGTATAGGATTTTACTGTTTGACACTTTCTGAATGTACAAGTAGAATACATTGTTATTTATCTTAATGCCCCAGCTTACAGCCAAGTTACTTGAACAATCGTACAAAAAGATACATAAGATTGTTGTCCAACAGGTAATATCTTAGTGATTTTGGTTAGTTACAAATTTTACAAATGTCAGGTTCAGATAATAGGGGAAGTTGTGCTGGATAAAGTTGTAGGATTTTTTCAATGTATAGCTACATCAGAGGTTGCATTGGCAAATGGTTTCTGAACAAGGATCACTTTCCAATTTATATAAAGTCTGGAAGAATAGATGAGAGAAAAAAGAAAAATTAATCATTTTTGAATCATTATGGTGCTTCAGAATAATTGAAATGGTACCTCGGGTTACAAACACCTTGGGTTACAAACACTTTGGGTTACAGACTCCGCTAACATGGAAGTAGTACCTCAGGTTAAGAACTTTACCTCAGGATGAGAACAGAAATCACGTGGCGGCAGTGTGAGGCCCCATTAGCTAAAGTGGTACCTCAGGTTAAGAACGGTTTCAGGTTAAGAACGGACCTCCAGAATCAATTAAGTTCGTAACCAGAGGTACCACTGTATAGTATAAAACCTCTGGTTTTTCTTCTTATGGTGTATTTAACCAGAAATAACTGTCTTTCAGAGGGGCGAACTCCAAAGGATAAGAAAAGCTCTCGGGGTCGGGGCCGGCGAACATCCGAAGAAGATGTCCCAGTAAAAAAGAAACCAAAACGAAGGTAAGTGACTGCAGTCTGCAGTTAGCTTGTTCAGAGCAGCTTCCATTTGAAAAAAAAAATTCTGCCAATGTGCCATAGTAACCAGATTTTTTGGCATGCTTAGTTTCACATGCTTTATACTTTCTCCACTTTTGCTGTCTTGGTACTCTTCAAACTAACCGACCTCCCAAATAGTTCTAGTTAGTTTCAAACTGGAGATTATTATTTTTTACCAAGAATCACTGGCATTTACTCAATATTTGTTCACGTTGCTCCCATTGCAGGTCTGAATTAGCTGATACCATCCTGTCGGTTCATCCTTCAGATGTCCTAGATATGCCGGTGGATCCCAACGAACCAACGTATTGTTTGTGTCACCAAGTATCCTATGGAGAAATGATCGGCTGCGACAATCCTGATGTAAGTACTGAGATAACCCAATGTGGCCATACACACGCTTCCCTCCTCAAATTCTGCGTGAAGGTGCTTCCTTTAGAAAGAATGGAACTATGCAAGGGGAAAGAACCCCATCCAAGTGACCAATAGAAGCTGCTTCCAGACTTCCCCTGGTTTCTGAGCACAAATTTGAAAGCGCTTTTCTACAGCAAAAAATCGTAGCTTATATATTTTAAATGAAAAGGTGGATCTGGATCTTAGGACTCACTGGATTTGATACTTCACTCCATATTTGAAGTTGTTTGTGCACCTTTCATACATAAACAACCCTGAGGTCACGTCTACACCCCAAGCTAACTTGCTTCTATTTTCCCACCCTGGAATCTTCGGATGAAGGGCATTATACAAATGTTAATAGTAATAATGATAATCGTTTACATCATGCTTTATGGGCCATTTGCAGTGAGTAGTGCATCATGTGTCTGCAAAATTTGGGCACTTCACAAGCAACAAAGGACTCATGAAGTTTCCTATGTGATGTGCAGTATATGCCCCTTTGATTGTGACATGCCAGGCACCAACCAGGCTCCCATTTCTGTTAAATCTGATAAGATTAATGTTATCAAGCTCTCTAAGAAAAAACATCTTTTTATTCTTCCCCAAAATATAGTGCCCAATCGAATGGTTCCATTTTGCTTGTGTGGACCTCACCACGAAACCCAAAGGGAAATGGTAGGTGTCATGAATAATAACTTTCTACACTTGTGTTTTCTTCACTTAATTTTCTTCATTGATACTTTCTTCACTTTACCATAAGAAAAGCACAAAGGTCCTTGACCGAAGGCTCACAATCTAAAAGAGACAGCAAGGTGATATAAAGGGGTGGGGCAGCCTTTGCCAACCTTGTGTCTTCCAAATGTTTTGGACCACAGTTCCCAAAAGCCACAGCAGCATGGCTATGCTGGCTGCAGCTGATCGGAGGTGCTGTTCAAAACATGGTAAAGACTAGAACCAGGAAGTTAAATGTATAATTCTTGAGTTTTATTTTCCCCCAAATGTGAGGTATTCCCAAAGTAATGCATTGAACTGAACACAGTGATTCTTTTTTTAACCCTTAGGTTTTGTCCTCGCTGTGCTCAGGAGAAGAAAAAGAAGTAGAATGGGAATGTACAGTCCGAAAGAAGAAAAAGTTTAATATATTCGTACATGTTGCAATATTTTATTCTATCTTTTTTGTCACTTACCTATCTTGTTTGATTTGATATTTAGCAGTGGCCAGTCATTTTTCTTAACGTTGGGGGGGGGGAGCTATCCTAATGAGAAAAGGAGGATGTGGAGGAGGTTTACTGTGGTGATGGTCACCTGGGTTTCACACTTCTGTGGCACTGCAATCAATGTTATGAAGTACTAAGAGTAGCCCTGCACTGGAATTTCTGCTCACGTACTAAAAGTCTGTGAAATTGCCTATATGGCCTTCCAGGTGAACGATGATTTTTGTTTGTTTTGTTTTGTTATCAACAGGGTAGTCACTCTGCTCTGCACAATATTTATGAAGGATTTAAAATCTTTAACTGCATCTTTACAGAACCTTATAACTACTGTCAAGGAAGGAATGTGCTGTTCTGTTCCTCAGTTGCAGCAAGCAAAGAATTGTTTCTTACAAAGGCAGATGAAAAGTACCGTATTTTGTGCCCTACAGGACGCACCGGCCCATAAGGCGCACCTAGTTTTTTGGGGGGGAAATAAAGAAAAATATTTTTATTTTCCCCACCAGGTGCAGGGCTGGGGCGGGGGAAGCCCGAGCTTCCACCGACCCCAGCCCCCAGAACAGGCTGCTCTGCGCAAGCCGTGGGAGCCCTCCCGCGGCTTGTGCAGAGCTACCCGAAGCCCCGGCGCGACTGCTGAGCGCGCCGGGGCTTCGGGATAAGAGGCAGCTCCGCGCAAGCTTGGAGAGCGAGAGGGGTCGGTGCGCACCAACCCCTCTCGCTCTCCAGGCTTCAGCAAAAGCCTGCATTCAGCGAAAGCCTGCATTCGCCCCATAGGACGCACACACATTTCCCCTTCATTTTTGGAGGGGGAAAAGTGCGTCCTATAGGGAGAAAAATACGGTAATGGGTATTATTTTGGTAATTATTTTTGCGCGGAGCTGCCTCTTATCCCGAAGCCCCAGCGCACTCAGCAGTCGCACCAGGGCTTCGGGTAGCTCCACAAGTAAATTTCAAGAGTAGTACACCTGTTCCAGTTGCTTCTGAATTGTACACTACTGCCTCTGCGCTTCATACAAGTCCCTCTGAAGTCATCTATCCAATCCTGATGGTAAGCAATGAATGCTTAAATTGAGGCACAAAATGTCTAGGAGACATCAGTATAGTTTGATTCACTCATGAAAAGAAAATAAGGCTTATTTTTCATTGGCTAAGCTATTAGATGTTAGACATGAACAATCAGGAAAACCAGATGTAAAAAGAAAAACTTTTTTTTTTAAAGGAAAGATTCCTAGGACTGCAAAGCACTAAAAGCAATTTGGTGTAATTTTATACTGAACTTTTATCTGGTTTGAGATGTCTGTTCTCTGTAAGCACCGAGATGCCGTCCAGTATAAAATGTGAATGTGGGTGCCCCTTAAAGCAGCTTTGAGTTGGAAGACGGACAATATTTCCCCCCAGGAAGCTGGTAGAGCCATCGTTGCCTGTGATGCACACAATATCATCACTATCCTCTCTGATAATGCAGGTGGTTTGTATCCAGAGTGTCCCATTCATGAGCCCAACCAGGGGTGGCTGTGGGTAGGATTTCTGCATTGCAGGTGGTTGTAGTAGTAAGCCCTCGAGGTCCCTTCCAGCTCTGCAGTTCAATGAATGAAAGGGCTTCTTCCTATTGCAGAAGGGATTGAGATCCAGTGGAGGCTCACACCGGAGGAAGGCAGATTTTGTTTATTCCCTCTACATCTCCCCATGCCACCTCCCACACTGTTAAGGAGGGTCACCCAACTTCTTGGCATGGTTTTGCAGGGGGGAAGGAAGAACCATGAAAATCACCTCTCCCTCCTTTGTGAGCATCCCCTGGGCAGAACTACATTCACGGGAACTGGATCCATGCCAGGGTTGGCAGGCTTTATAAGTAACATCAAAAACATGCAAATGTTGTTTGACCAAAGACAATGTATAGGGAGATAAAAATTATACATCATGGATCATGTTGATTCTGTCATACCAATATTTGTTAAAGACGATCATCTGTCTCCAGCTTTTCCTTTCTCAGCTAAAAGCTGGAAAAAGCAGGTCAAGAAGGATGGATAAATAATATTATGTACAATGGCTAGTTTGTCTCAGCTGTGCTTGCATTGTGAGATAATGTTGATTATTTGCATATGGTGATTAAAAAGCAGCCAGAATATAGCACGCACGGCTGTTATCCGTTCCAATGGTGTGGAGTTTGTTAAGGATTCAGGTATACCCCCAAATCACAGTGATGAGTTATTCTTCCTTCTTGAACAACTTGCACCACGTGATACCTGCAATTTTGCAGTAATCTCGCTTCCCTTCTGGAAGGTAAAGGAGAAAACTATCATAACAACCAAAATGTGGAGTTAACAGGTGTAGCTTTAAATTGAGAAAAGGTATATTTGTTTTTTTCTGAAAGGACATGGTTTGGGGTTTTTTGTTAAGAAAGAACGCAAGTCCTAAGTTCTTATTTCACATGGCATTGATTTTGCATGGTTTTGTAGGCAATTCAGTGAAAGCATTCTTTATTTGTATCACTTTACTTTCTATAGCTACATCTAGTTTTCAGTGATCACGTGCACATTTGCATTGGCCACATAAGAGTGAACTAATTTTGGAGGTTTGGTTGTCATAACTTGCTTTCAGAATGTTTTGTCTCTACATAATGTTCTGCTGTTATCAGGCTTAAGTACTTACTGGAGTAAGTTGTCACTCTGAGAGTTACCCCCTATATATCATGCACACAACTATGGAACTTAATGCAGACAATGAGGACATTAGACCATTTAAGTCTTCCATAACCTCGTGCCCTCCAGATGTTTTTAACTACAGTTGCCTTAGCCAGTGTAGCCAATGGTAAGGGATTATCAGAGTTGCAGTCCAACTTCTGGAGGGCACTAGGCTGGGGATGGTTGTCCTATGAGACAGCATTTTCATATAAAGTTTGGGGTGCACTAAATTAGCTTTTCCCAACATGAAGCCCTTGAGATGTTTTTGACTATAATTCCCTTTAGTCTTTGCCAGCATGGCTGTCCAAAACATCTGGAATGCTCCAAGTTGGGGAAACTGTTTCTCTTTTAATGCAAAGCAATCTTCCACAAGATGTGATCCACCAAGCTGTATGTGGCTCCAGCAGTGTTGTTATGGTTATCGAGATGCTTGACAGTTCCTTGGCTTTTGCAGTCGTGACTACAAAATAGGAAATGAACCTGATGGCAACAACACATAGTGGATTGTAGATGGATTTTTGGGGGGGTCACAGCTTTTGCATTGTGCATTTAGATTTTAGTAGGAAGTCTTATAAGACCTCATGAATCAGTAGTTCAGTTATCAATAATGGACATGTGTTTTAACTTCCCATAAAGTCATGTTAGCTTCTACTATAATAGCAATGACTTTCATGATCTATTTCCCCTTTTTTCCACTTACGTTGTATCTTAGATAATGGAAAATTAGTGCTATAGGTTGGCATACATCTTGAAAGTCCTTAAAATGTGTTTGGGGGTAGGAAGTTAGTGCTGCCATGTAGGTATTGAAGCAACCTGAACCTGTTACTTTACCATAAACTAGAACCAAGATCATGTTTCCGTCCCAAGGAATTGGATGTTTTGTTTCCTTTGAGGCAGTACTCCAGACAGGAGTGAAGATGTGGCGGCGGCGGCAATATTTCACAGCACGGTTTCTGGTGCTGTATAGTGTTGAACTGTACACTACAGATGTCATATGTTGCTGTCTTGACTATAAACTGATTGTCAACCAGATCATGTTGTTTCAAGTTTTTTATATCCATGCTGATAATGAACATTGGGCATTCTGGTCTGTGAAGAATGTATTCTCCTGAATTTTGAATGTATCCTGTTTAATAATAATTACCTTTGTCAGGATTTAGAGCACAGGAAAAAACTGAAGATAATCTTCCCCTCCTTTTTTTTTTAAAAAAAAGAAAAATCTACATATTTTGTGGTTGTCGCCTTTTTTCATAGTTTATCTCCCAAGTAATCAAACGACACAGCCTATACTTTCTTGTCAAAGGAATTAGATTTATGTTTTCTTTGTAAATGAAAGAGAATATTAGAAATCTTTTTATTAAAATGTGAAAATGTTTATCTGTATTTTTGATCATGTTATAGATATAATAGGTATATTGTTACAAATAAAGTATTTTTGAGAACAAACAACTGTATGTTTTGTTTGCTTCTGAGGTATAGTGTGCAAATGGCAAGTTCATGCTACCAACAAAATGTATGTACGGTACGTATAAAGGGTAAAGGGACCCCTGACCATTAGGTCCAGTCGTGGCCGACTCTGGGGTTCCGGCGCTAATCTCGCTTTATTGGCCGAGGGAGCCGGTGTACAGCTTCCGGGTCATGTGGCCAGCATGACTAAGCCGCTTCTGGAGAACCAGAGCAGCACACGGAAACGCCGTTTACCTTCCCACCGGAGAGGTACCTATTTATCTACTTGCACTTTGACGTGCTTTTGAACTGGTAGGTTGGCAGGAGCAGGGACCGAGCAACGGGAGCTCACCCCGTCACGGGGATTCAAACCGCCGACCTTCTGATCGGCAAGTCCTAGGCTCTGTGGTTTAACCCACAGCGCCACCCGCATCCCTATGTACATATACTTCTAGCATTTAATTGGGTCTTGTGGAAAACGCTGGTTACTTGCATGTATAAAGGTGGACAAGAAAATCTTGGATCCTGTGAATTGTCAAACCTAGCTAAATGCACTAAGGTGACATGTAGAAATATGAGAGAACACTGAAGTGTCATTTGGTTGATCTATTCTGAAACCAGAAAAAGTACTACGTTGGAAATAAATTCCAAAACCCACTCTTGGACAATACCTTTATCAAGAATAATCAAAGTTACAAAATCATTAACAGAACTCTCATGAGGGTGGATGTTAAGCAAAAGGGAAGGGAAAGAAACTTGACGAAACAACAAAAAAGCATCCT